CATACTCACCTGGAGGTTACCTTCTTTCTCAATCAAAATATGTTGCAGATATTCTTGAGCGGGCTAAACTTATTGATAACATGACTGTAGATACTCCTATTGAGGTTAACGCAAGGTACTCTTCTTTTGATGGTTTGCCTTTGATAGATCCTACTTTATACCGCACTATTGTTGGGAGTTTGGTATATCTCACAATTACTCGTCTAGATATTGCATATGTTGTTCATGTTGTTAGTCAATTTGTTGCTTCTCCTACTACTATTCACTAGGCAGTTGTTCTTCGTATTTTACGATATCTTCAGGGTATAGTTTTTCAAAGTCTTTTACTTTCATCCACCTCTTCCTTGGAGTTGCGTACATACTTTGATGCTGATCATGATAGTGATACCACAGATTGCAAATCTATTACTAGGTTCTGTATCTTTTTAGATCATTCTCTTATTTTTTGGAAGAGCAAGAAACAATCTATTGCTTCTCAATCATCCATCGAAGCAGAATATCGTGCAATGGTATCTACTACGAAAGAGATTGTTTGGTTACGTTGGTTACTTGCTGATATGGGAGTTTCCTTTTCTCATCCTACTCTTATGTATTGTGACAACCAGAGTTCTATTCAGATTGCTCACAACTTGGTTTTTCATGAGCGAACTAAGCATATTAAGATCGATTGTCATCTTACTCGTCATTATCTCAAACATGGCACCATTGCTTTGCCTTTTGTTCCTTCTTCCTTGCAGATTGCAGATTTCTTTACCAAGGCGCATTCCACCTCTCGTTTTTGTTTTCTGGTTGGCAAACTCTCGATACTTATAACTGCCACATCATGAGTTTGAGGGGAGATGTTAAATAATATTTATGTAATCTTATTTATTAAAGGTAGAATAGTATTTTCAGTTTAACCTACATGTAGCTTATATGCATTTAGGTTAATGTTAAGCACTAATACAAAGATTATTCAGAATTGCAGCCTCCATTTTGTGTTTGATCTTAATTATTTTAATAGTTTGATTCTCTTAAACTAATGAATTGAAACAAGAAACTATGTGTATTATCTTGTTCCATTGAATATTTTAACAGGCAAGCTGATTTGTTTTGTTTGATACTCAGGGAGCATGTGTTAGAAACTATCCAGCAAAGGAAAGCTTGACGACAGCAAAGCTACAAAACAAATTGTTGCTCTTTTGAGTACTAATATAACGATATTGTCACAATATCGAAGCTTTCAAACTATCCTCATGTGCCAGAATATCTTGATATCGAGACAAATAAAATCATGGCAACTGTTATCATTCAAAGTTATATGAAAAACAACAGTCGTATCGCTACCGCTGACACTGTATGTTTTTCTACCTTGTTTATGTTGATCTTTCCAATATGCTCTAGATGCTCCATTGAGGTGTTATTTTGAATTAATAAAAGGGCTTATCAAGGATTTGGATGGAGCTGAAGGAGAGGTTATTTGAAATTCCTGCTGCAAAAAATCAAACTTTAATGCTGAAAACTACACATGCTATGCTTCTTTCTTATTGCTATCCAGTTAACAGTATCTACCTTTTCTCCTCTATGTTGCTTCTCAAAAACTAAGCCATTGCATAGGGAAATGTTATTATTGTTTTTTTCTCTTATCTTCAGGTTAATGAAGATGATTTCAAAGAGGAACAGAATTCCGTTGCACGTCTTATTCAGATGCTGTACAGTGACGACCCAGAGGAAATGTTTCGGGTGCATTTTCCTTTCAAAATCTGATTAATTACTTGAATGGTTCAAGCCTAATTTTGTATTTTTGTTTTTGAACTTGTTTTTATATGTAACGTATGCCCTGAATTGCAGATATATCTGCATTGAAGAAGCATATCATGACAGAAGGACCGAAGTGTATACCTTCACAGTTCCCCCACTTGTCTTTTCGTGTCTTAAGGTTTGCTGCCTAATGCTAACAACCTTGAAGTTGCTGCTGAACATTCTGGAATGACGATGTCATTATTTGTCAGAATTGGCTTCTGGCATGCATAAATGCTGGTCACTTCATGTGAATCATGCTGTAGTCTAACCGCTTTTCCAGTCTCCACAATTTAATGGCTGGCTATCTTTTTTCTAAAATTGCAAATTTGATTTCCCAACTTATTCTTAGCACTTGTTTGTGATGTGCAGTTGGCAAGGCGACTTCAAGGGGCCAGACCAGGAGGAAAATCCTTTTGGAGATGAGGCATCAACTTCACCTAAGAAAAATTTATCAGCTCGTGAATCAGGTGGTACTTCACTGGAAGTTGTCTTTGGTGTACAAAGATGATCATTCATCATAATAGTGATGATGTAATCCATTCACTTACTGACAATTGAGGCTCTGTCGATTGTTCCATCAACTGAATTGGCATTACAGCTGTACTTGCAATGTGCTGAGGTACATGAATAGGCACTGCAGTTGTACTGGGGGGCTTTAAATACTTTCGAGAACCATTTGATAATCTTCTTCTCTTATTTGATATTGCTTTTGATTCTTAATCGACCAGGCTGCCAATGACTCTGATCTAGAGCCTGTTGCATATGAATTTTTCACTCAAGCTTATATTCTATATGAAGTCTAAATGAGTTGATCTGATTCAAATCTTTAATCAACCTTTATATTGATTTACGCAAGGTTGCAAATTCAGTTCTTTTTTCTCTCATGCATGCTTGCTGCAACAGGATTCAAAAGCACAGGTGACCACACTGCATTTGATAATGGTGTAGAGAACAGGGATATTTAACGCACAAGGCCACGGGGGTAGTCCTATAGCATCATTTTGCTATAATTATAAATTTCCAAATCATGCTTTTGAAGTGTATTTATGTGAAGGCCCTGATATGAAACCTTGCTTAAGCAGTATTCAGCTACGCTATTTTAAGGAAAGCCTGATCATTGAAGAGCGGTTTCTGGGTGTGCACAACTATTCTGGGTTGATGATCAGGATAACATGAAAGATGGAGAGAGGTGAGTGTCAAGTTTTTAATGTTGATAAAGCCTTGTGGTGATTAACATGGTTAAACCAGAACTTAGCATTATTAAGGGGACAGCAATATGCATATTAGGGTACCTTGTCACGATGTCATCTTGGACAACCTCGGTGGCATGCTATTGTAGCACACAGGAGGAAAGGAAGTTTTACGGCTGTAATTAACTTTGATGAATTGTGAGAGGAGTGGGCTGCTTACGAGTTCATTTGAGATTTGCTCCCCAATGGTTTGTGATAAATTCTCTCTCTTTCTGCTTTTGAACCAGGGTTCTGATTTGCATGAGGAGTGCTTTATGAAATTGCAAATGCTTCTCAACAAATGTCCATCGCGGCATGGGATAACACTGGATCAGTGTCACTCTTTGTTGAGATTCTGAACAAGCAACTGTTCTATTTCATTAACTTATTTCATTCCATCTCTGTAATTTTTGTCTTTTGATCTTCGAAAATGTAAATGACAACCCTTTTTTTTTTTGTATGTAGATTTCTTTACTTCTTCGAGAAGGGAAACCCACGAATCACTGCGGCTGCAATCCAGAGCCTGATTGAATTGATTACAACCAAGATGCAAAGTGACAACAGCACACCAGATCCTGCTGCTGATGCTTTCTTATCCAGAAAACTTGGATACATTCAGTTCCAGAAACAGAAAGGTGGTGCAATTGGTGAGAAATATGATCCCATCAAGGTGTGACATGATGACTAGATGTCAAGAACAACTTTCATGTTATTGGTTCGAACATGACTACTGTTGACTTATTCATGGAATAAGCTGTATATCTTCTTGCATACATACTGGTCTGAGGAGCTTCACACGTTTAACTCCAGTGCAATGTTGAAACCGTGTTCTTATCAGGTTGCTATCTCGTAATCTACTGGTATTTTATTCATGGTCAATTAAATTGACTCTTTAGCACAGACAACCTTGTCAATTTTTCTAGGTTTAGGTGATGACACCACGGCCATACAAGTATAGTAGATAGTTGAAGTTCCAAAATTGCATTATTATTTATTAATTTTTTTTGAATGTGGGGTGGGAAGTGGGAACCCGACAACGCTATGCTTGCTTGTTTTCTAAAACTAACGGTTTATTATAATCCAGCTAGGTCGTAGTTGCCTAGATGGAATTTCAATCCTGGTTGCTCTCTATTTGCCAATGCAAGAATCCAAGCAAATTTTTGGTTCCACAGTAGCATCCTTGATTTCTTGCTTCAGCTTTGAGTTTCCTCTAGAATAACACACCATTTCTGGCTACAAATGTGCACCTAATAACCCTGGAAGCTTAGCCCTTGAAGGGGACCTTTGATGGATGAGATCCCGAGAGGAACTAACATCCATCAGTGCTTTTTCTGAAAATGGCATTTAGAGTCTGTTTGTGACGAGGAATGGGTGGAAAGGGGTGGATTTTATAAATTTCTGTTTGGCACAATGGATGCAAACCCACCCAAGGAAGTACCCTTCTTGCCGTATTGACTTCCTTTCTCCCTTCACCTGTCTGTGGAAAGCATGTTAATAGCGGCGCATGTTTTAGTTCCCAGAGACATGGTCCTTATGGATTGTCCCATCAGTTCTTCACCTTTGCTCAACGAGGACCGCATCATGCAATTTAAGTTCGGCACAATGTTGAAATCCAAAAAATTTCAGCATCTCAGAAAGGGGAAAACAAAGAACGAAAAAGCAGCATCTTGTGACCTGCAACAACTTATGGAACAGATGAAATTGGAAAGCTATTAGCACTCAAGGTAGCGGGGCTAATAAACTGGAGTCCCAACCCATTTCATACCTCTATAACAAATCTGAAACAGCTCGCTGCTATCACCAGCCACCATGAACCAACAACCAAATCATTCAATGCTATTACCTCGGTGGCCCTACTTATTTTCTTTCTTTCACTGTTACTCTAGGATATTTCTAATTATCATTCAACATCAAGGCAAAAAATTATGGGAGTTTAGGAACATCGCTGATGTGGGATGAAAGTGAAAGAGCTTGTCAGAAACAAGAAAGTAAAAATAAACCAAAGCAAGATTAGTAGCACAACATAACCAAGCTCTTGAAACTGATACAAGTTTTTGATAGAATTCATGCAAGGCAACGTTGTCTTCCTAATGGGATGTTCCGGTTTATTAATACATAAACATATCAAAACCTGGAGTTATGTATAGGAGGTGGGCAATCATGCAATGCAATTCAACTATTAGAGATCCATAATAATTCAAAAAACCAATATCAAACCACCTGATGCTTCGTGGATCCTCATTACGGTCTGGAAAGACATTAAATTAAGCTTCTTAGAGAGCAATGGGAAGAGAGGAAAGGAGCATGGGTAACACAAAGGCTCCTCACAACTGTTACAATCACAATATAGAACCGGCCTTTTGTGCTTTGCTCTTCTTTTTCTTTTGCTTGGGTGGTTGAAGGACGACTCTGATGGCTGCATCGAAAACTGCCTTCACATTCTGCATGAACAAGCTAATAACTGAATTTATAAGCCCAAAAAGCTTTTAATGCAGAAGAGAATGTCTTCGTAAAATATTCATACCTGCTGTGTTTTCGAACTGCATTCAATGTAGGCAGGTGCACCAATCAGCTTCCTCAGCTCCTCTCCCTTTTAAATATTCAAAGACAACAACATCAATAGCTGAGTGATAGGAAGGATTTGCTTAAAAAAATGGAAAAACAACAATTCATGTAAATGCTCAAAATGAGAGAGAACACAATCAGTCAGGAGTTTTACCTGAGCTGTAGTAATAGGAACGGCACCAGGGTGATCGATGAAGAACTGCTTATCATCCCGAAGATCTAGCTCATTGAAAACCAGAAAAAATGTAAGACTAGCTTTTTCAAAAAAAAAAACAAAAAACCGTTGTATATTTTGAAGAATGTCCCATGAAAATGAAAATCACAAATTGAAGTTAGAATACCTTATGATGAGTCACAAATTAATGATACACATGTCAAAGGAAATACAGGCGCATAATGAAAGAATGGAAAAGAAAGCCACCAAGAAAGTAGTAAACTTATGGGCTACATCTAGCTTTGTTTAGACAAAAAGAACATACCTCTTGACAACTTACTTTTTTTTTTTTTTCCCTTAGAATTGTAACACCCATCAATTTATTCACTTATGCCCATTAAATACTCATCCAAAGTTTTTCACAAAATCAAGCTGCAAACATTGATCATGAAGAAAATTGCATAAAGCAGATCTTTAAGTATCCCTCATCCCACAAAAAGAAAAAGGATAAATTATAAAAGAGCAGGTCAAAAGTAAATCCTTTTCCATAACAAATTACTAATCACATGTTGCTGCAGACAACACTAGTTACATATCGACTAATGAACTTACTGAACAGCAACTGAAAAAATTATCACATACAACCATGCACAATAGAAAATAAAGACTTCTATTAACAATACTTAAGCAACTTTAATGTAAATAATTCTCGGGCAAATTAAAATTGAGCACAAAAGCAGTTGAACAAACAAGCTCATATGCATAATCATCAAACACTAAAAATGCTTACAAACACATCTATCTAATTCCATGCATAGGCGAAAATTTACCAAGTTTTGTGCCGACAAGAACTATTGGGACACCAGGTGCATAATGCTTCAACTCTGGAATCCACTGGAAAAGAAGTCAAGTAATAACTCATCAGCATGTTCTATTTTTTTAATATAGGAATAGCTTGTCCAGGATTGAAACAAAAGACAGCATTTCATGCAATCTAATTTCCAACCTTTTTAGAAACATTTTCATAACTGGCCTTGCTAATGAGAGAGAATGCCAGTATGAAAACATCTGCCCCACGGTAACTCAATGGTCTTAATCTATTATAATCCTCTTGCCCTGATTAAATAAAAAATAAAGTCAGATCCACGCAGAATCACACATCCAAAAAAAAAATATAGAAGTAAATAACACACACAAAAAAAAATATAAAGATTTATGTAGAGTTACCAGCTGTATCCCACAACCCCAGGTTGACAGTAGCACCATTGACGACCACATTTGCGCTGAAATTGTCAAAAACTGTAGGCACATAATCCTGTTTATCACAACAACGCAATAAAATAAGGCAATGGTATTACACCCTCTTGTAAAGGATTTGATTAAATCCCATGAAAATATGAACAAAATAAAGGAATTTTTTGCTGCGTGAAATGTAGAGGCAAAAAAGAAAACAATAACTTGGATAAGTAACGGCATTTCTTTATTGAAAAACCAAAACTTCCATTATAATAATGTCAAGCCAGGCCAAACTAATAAATAGAAGCAAAATTCAGCTTTGATCAATCCATAATTGGGAGCAAAACAGAAACTCGACAACGATCTTAACCTCCCTTTCATTATTTATCAACAAAATGAATCGAAACATTACCAAATCATGCAAACATGTCCAGAAAGGACCTACCCTTAAATTAGCACCCTACCAAATCATAAATAAAATGACATACATACTCGACATAGAATCTCAAAATGGAAATTCAATTGAGCCAAACTCAAGTTCCACCATAATTCAGAAAACACATCCCAAATTCAAAAACACTTATAATGAAAACAGAAACAAAAGGAAACCCATTATCATTTCCACCAAAACTCAAGAACCCATATCTCAATTTCCCAAAAAAAACTGAAAAGGGAAAGTACAAAAGAGTCAGGGAAATTGGCATTGAATTACCGTAGGGAAGGTGTTGCTGGTGTAAGAGATCAAGAGACAAGTTTTACCAACAGCTCCATCTCCTACTGTCACACACTTTATAAACCTTGATGCACTCATTTCTCTTTCTTTTCGATTGACTACGCAAAAACTTTAAAATATCTTTAAGAGTGAAACAAAAGCCTCAGATCTTCACCACCTGAGGTCAAAACACCCTCTTCCTCCTGATCACACACACAAATCCCAACAACTCCACGCCATCATCATCTGTTCATTAAAAACAAAAAAAAAAACAAAAAGAAGCCCAGAAACAAAAGAAAAATAATCAAGAAACGTACAAGAAGAAGAAGAAGAAATTAAGAGACCAAAAGAGCTTCTTTTTTTTTTTTTTTTGCTCTATTTTGTTAAAGTTTTGATGACAGATTTCCAAAAGAGAAGGGGAGAGAGAGAAGAGGGGAGGGGGAAAGAGT